TGCGCCCCCAGAACAAACCCAGAAAAAGAGCTCTCAATATTCATTCCACTAACGTCCAGAATTCCTATGTATTAACGAATTTAAGGCAAATCACACTATCTAAAAACAGTATTTGAAATGTTAACATTTACATTAAAAAGTTTCAGACAAGTAGTTAATCAGTTACCCAGATAGAATGACTACTTAAACTCCATTCAAAAGCTAGGCAGCAGGACTTAAAGTTGCTATACTTGAAAAATTAGAAAAAGCAGAATTAGCTTGGGGAAAATAAAAACCCTCCAGGAGAAGGACCTCTGCTTTACTAGAGGGTAGTTAATATTTACAATTCAAGAATTATTTCTATCTGGCATCTCCAGTCAATTAATAGGAAAGCTAAAGCCTAACACTAAACATGAAGACATTATGTACAGAGGAGAAAAAATACAATCCAAGGAGGGGGGGAATGGAGAAGAGAGAGAAGAGAAAAAGAATGCAGATGGAGGGGAAAAGGCCATGGTGTCTTCCTTAAATTAGATACCCTTATCATCTGGAAATACGGCTCACAACGGCCCCAAAGAGAAGAAAACAACTTGTTTCAGACTTTTATATGGTTTCACTGCAGTTTCCAAGATATCAAATCACACTAGCTCTCAAAAAAAAAAAAAAAAGAAAAAACACATATACATCACTTAAACAGCTCTGCCTACTGAGGCCATACTCATTAGCTATTTTTAGGAAATAAAAAATTTGGGACTAAGAGCCTTGAATTTCAAATGCTCTAATCTGAATGTATCTTTAACATTATAGGTGGAAATCTGACAAGTGTCTGCCTTCCGACAATTGTTTGCCATCTCAAATATAAATATAAATATAAATAAATATAAAATGACTAAGTATCAGTTCAATATTACAATTGGAATGGAGCAAAGCAGTAGGTAGATACCAGTGAGTAGAGACAGTTTCAAAATTTTGAAAATAGTTCATAAATTATCTCCATTTTTTAAAGCTGCAGGCTTATAAGAACTGTAAGATGTTTGTGAAATCATAATAATTTCACTGAATATGAATTGTTCTTTGTATTAATCACACACTCAGCTCCATTTAATACAGGCCAATACTTTTTATCTCATTTTAAGAAGATACAACACAACACTGAATCTAAATTAACTAGATCTCATTACACACTGTATTAAATGTAAAAAAAAGTTTTTAAAAAAGTCTTGTAGTTCTTCTCAGTTTTACAATATCTGTATTATTTAAACATTTTTAACAAATAGGATTCCACAGATTATACTTCGTATTCTTACAACTAGATATGAAGTCATGTAAATTCCTGAAAAAAGTCTCTATTTCCACCAGCTGCAAGCACAAGGTTTTAAGAAAGTAGCAGTATCTGCTTCTTTTAATTTTATGCTTCCCTCTCTTTCAACAAGGATTTGAGAGATAGAACATGTGTTCAGAAAATATATTCTTCAGTGAAATACAGAACATTTAGCACAGTATTTTAACCCAAATTGTTGCCAATGCTCTTTAACTTTGCTTGTCAAAATGTTGAGGTATCAAATTTGCAATTTTACTAAATATGGTAGAGAAAGGGAGAGCGGAATTTGAAAAAATCTTAATTCTCTGCTTGAAAACAACTCATATTAAACTAGGAAGTATCTTTACTTCAATAAGAAGGGAATCAAGTCAAACATGCAAATAATTTTGAAGGTGGGACCAGAAGAAAGGGACTTACCCAAAAAGGGGCAAGATCTAATTTATAAATAAAATAAGCTGTCAAATATTTGCTTTATGTTCAGTTACCCATTTCAGAAAGGTATTCATAAAATTCCTTTAACTAGCTAGTCATTGTATTACAAATTAACTGCATTTTCTTTATTCTATTTTTCACATAACTTTTCAGGATCCTGCTACTGTCAAAAAAAAAAAGGTAACTTTGTGGGGCATTAGGAAATAAACACAAAGCCTCTACAGTATCTCAACTAAGCTAAATGCACTATTCTCAAAACTCTGCTGCTGATCATTAAGCACAAAATAAGTAACTTAATATTGAAATTGTTTGAAGTCTAAGAATATAAACAGTCCCAGATGGTTATTCAGAATATTAGGCTATATCATTAGTGTTAATTTTAATTAAGCAAGTGTGATTTTTATCATTACATATCTATAAAATAGAGGGAAAGGGTTATATCTTGATCCTATGTTGAAAGAAGTCAATTTTCTCCAAATTGAGCTGTAAATTTAACGATTCCAATTTTAAAACTAAAACAAGATTACTTAAGAGTCTGGAAAAAGATTCTAAAGTTCATCTTTAAGTAAAAATGTATAAAAGGCCAAAAAAAAAAAGTTTGCAAAAGAATGAGAAGCTTGCCTCACCAGTAATAAGGTAATAAAACTTCACTAATTGAAACAGTTGATATTGGTACAAGAATTAATATATCAATGAGACATCATTGGACATCTTGACACATACCCAAGTATACAGAAGAATTTAGTCCATAATACAGTATTTTGAAATTGGAATAATCAAGTAATCATTCAGTAAATGATTTGGGGACAAGCAGCTAATTATTTAGGTGAACCTAAGATCTCAACATATAACAAAGTAAAATATTGAGTACATTAAAGAGTAAAATGTAAAAACAAACCAACAACCTCAGAAAAGAAAAGAAAAAAAATACTAGAGAAAAACAGATGCTGGCTATATAATTGGGGGAAATGGAGAAGATACCAAAATTGTAAGAGTCTGGGGAAAAAAGACTCGACTGCCTAAAACACACAGACACATGCTTTTCTCCATGTTAAATGTATGTACAAAGTTTAAAGACAGAAAACAAGCTGGGAATAATTTGCAACACATCACAGAAAGAATAATCTTCATACCAAAGATTAATGCAGCAACAGATTGCAGCACAAAGAATTATGAGTACTGAAATTTACAACTGTATGTAACCAGCATATAATATATGGAAGTATTCAATGGAACCAGTAATTAAAGTAATGAAAATTAAAAAATAGAAAACAGTTACAAGCCTGATACTTAGTAAGGGGAAATAGGAACCACCATACAATCTTACTACGAATAGATACAACCTTCCTATAGGGCAACATGTATCAAAATTTAAAACGTTCAACACTATTGGCCGGTAAGTCCTCTTTCAAAAATGTAAACCAAGGGAATCATCTCTCAAAGATGTATGCCTATGAATTCATCACAGTGTCGTTTGTAATCTTAAATCTTAAAGAAGACCTAAACGCTCATCAATAACAACAATACATACCATAAACGAAAATGCTACCCATCTTAAAACGATGTAGAGACCATACAACTGTTGACATAAAAAAAATGGTCATTGACATTTTACATGGAAGCTCCTTGTGAGCAGGGGCAAGCCCTGGAATGTTTTATTCTTCAGTCTTAATTCCAACACCTAGAACAGTACCTGTATAAAAGAGCTCCCCAGAAAGAAAATCTACTTATTGAATAGATTAATTTTAAAAGCAGGTTACAGAACAATAATCATAATATGGTCCCTTTCTTTCTCCTTCCCTTCTCCCCCAACCCCACACAAACAAGAAGGAAATTTAATTGGAAAGATAATCACAAAAGGTCGAAAAGGTCATGCAGTTCTTATGTGTTTAACTACCCTCTCTGTATTGTCTAACTTCTTTATATAGTAAAGCATTTTTTATGTTGGAAAAAGTAACCAAACTGTTTATTAAAAACTCATATATTTAAAATGAACTCCAGAATGTCAGTGACCACAGCTCATGAACTCCACACACTCAGATCAACAATATCTGGCAGTACGTTTTCTTTCATCTTTAAAGAAATACCAGTATGCCTTGTACAATGTAGCACCTTTCTCCAGTACCAGGAAATACCACACTACACTAATAAACTGCAACATTTCCAAAAGGAAAAGCACACATTTTCTATAGTAAAAAGGGAAAAATTAAAAAAGAAATCGTTTCTTAAAAGTCCTCCCCTCCCCTCTAGGGACATACACCCTATTCTAGTAGGTGGTAAAGTTTACTATGTACAATTGTGTTTTTTTTTTTTCAGGCTAAAAAGCCAGTGAATCCTTATCAGTAATGTGCTTTATGCAATTCTTTCATTTCTTTACACAGATGGATTTCATTTTAGATACTGAAACAAATATCAAAACTAGCCACATACCCTGTCATTATGCATTTCATCACACTAACTTTTTATTCACAGACTTAATCAAATAACCTTAGTCGGATTTTTATTGTCTGTCTTACCCTTCCAAAATATAAGATCTATGAAGACAGGAATTCTGTCCTGCTCACCACAATGTCCCTAGTGAATGGCACCTAGTAGGCCTCAAGAAGTATTTGTTAATAATGAAAAGGTGTGTGGGGTGGGGGTTTGAGATCAATCTAAACAGGACAATAACGAACTGGAAAAAAGGAAAGAAAACCTGAAAATGCACAAGCTGACCTGACTCAAAACCATAAGGTCAGCACAGAGGTTTGGTGCACATTTTTCTAGGGGCACAGGTGCTTCACACCTACCTAGGGGCATAGAGCTCTATCAGGAAGAAGAAAATCAACAAGGAAGTCTCCAGGTAGCTGTGTGCAGCTCCCAGAGGAGTAGAAATGATCATCACCGTAATAGAAATGTGGCCCAGGTGCAGAAAACACACACACACACTGTACACCATACATGCTGGCTCAAATGAAAAAATCGCACGAATCCCCAAGACAATCAAACCAAGCAAGCCAATCTTCCTCCCGACAAGAAGACCACAGTCTCTCTTCCGCCGCTGTGCAGTCGTCTGCAGTCCAGCAACCCCCTCTCCTCTCCTCTCCACTTCCCTCCCAAGACCACTGCCCCAGGGGTCCAAGGAGAGAAAACGAGGGGCACAGTCTGAAAATGGGCTTTCTCCATCCGCAGCCGAGCCCAATCCCCTCCAAGGCGCAATCCGTGCTCCGTCGCCTGTCCCCCAGGCCCGGACCCCGGCCACGGGCTCCTCAAGCTGCCCCTCACTCACGCGTAGATGATGGCCATGAAATGCATCAGCCACAGCACCACGAAGAGGACGAACCCAAAGACGGCCATTCCCTCCAGGGCCAGGTCCAGCAGCGCCATCCCCCGGCCCGGCCGGGCCCGCTCCGGCTGCCGCCGCGGACCGCGCTCCCGCTGGAGGGTGGGCGCCCAGCGTCGGGGCGCAGGAGGGGAGAAGAGGGTGGGGAGAGGAAGGGGCGGACGGGGGTGGGGGCGGAAGGGGCGGGCAGGCCTGCGCGCCCCGCCCGCGCGCTGCCCTGGCGCGCTCGCGGCTGCAGGCGCGCTGGTGGCCGGGCTCCGTGGTCAGGGTGACCGCAGCGCCCCACTCTGGGCCGTCTCTACCCGCCCGCGGACGCCGGCCGGGCCCTACGCGCCTGCGCCCCCGCCGCCTCCGCCCCGCTACCGGGCTCCGGGGCGCGCAGCTCCGCACCCTGCTTCGCCGCCGCAACCCCGCGCACTAATCGAAACCGGCGGCTAGCGCCCGACTCCCCGGCGCGCCCGGCCCGCCCCCGCCTCCGGAACGGCGGCGCCCGCCCTCCCGGGGGCGGAGCGCGCCGCTCCTCCCCGCCCACCCTGCCGCCCTCGCTCCCGCTGCGTCACCGCCGAGAGCGCGCCCCCGGAAGGCTTCGGCGGGACGCAGGCCCTGCTTTTCACTTGGCTGCGGTCTCCGCCGCAGCTGCCGGCCTAGGTTCCCCGGGCGGCCTCCCTCGGCGGTGGCGGAGGAGCGTGACCCTGTGTCTTAACTCCGAGGCTGCTTTCCTTCTGTCCCGCTGTACTGTTCCAGGCCACCCCAGGAAAAAACCCGGAGTTCCCTGCAGCCGCCCGAGTTACCTCGCAATCCAACTTCCAAAGCTGTGTCCGCAGCTTCTCCGCCGGGCAATGATCCGAGGGGCTTAGGCCCTCTTCCAGGCCACGTTCCTGGGAGCAAGGGTGTCCCATTGCCTTCCTCCCTCACTGCTTTTAATGCTCTGTAGTCTGGGATCACAGTGGACCCGGGAGGGAAATAATCTTGTGCCTCACAGATTCCTAAGCACTTTAGAGGCAGTGTGTAATATAAAAGAAATGCTCAAACTCGGAATGTAAAGGATCAGTTAATATGAAAGTCCCCTAAGACTCCTGACTACTATCCATCCAATAGGGTAGCCTTGTGTTAACTACTGAGTGCTTGAAATGTGGCTAGTAGGAACTGAGAGGTGCTGTGAGTGTAAACCACCCACTGGATGTGGAGGAACACCTTAATTTTATATTGATTACATATGGAGGTGATAACATTTTTGCTAAATACGGTTAAATTAAATAAATCATTAAATTAATTTCACTGTTTTTGTTTTACTTTTTAAATGCGGCTAGCTACTAAAATGTTTTAAGTTACATATGTGGATAGTAGTGCTGCCCAAAATGCAAAGAAGGCGTTGGTATAGTGGTGAGCATAGCTGCCTTCCCAAAATGCAAAGAAGTGGCCCTTTGGGTGGTAAGGTATAGTGTTTATCTTACTGTTAAATCGGTAACTTAGTACTGAATGTTTGTTTCTTTAGCCTAGATGAGTTTATATATTGTTTCTTGACTTTTATGTTCAGACAACGTTTATTATTTCAAGTGATTTCCTTTTAAATAATCCATGACCTCCCTTGAGAGATTTCAGAATTGAATTTAGTTTTGAAAAGAAGTTGCTTATTTTATCATTGCTACTTATTATAGTTAATATTGACTGAATGAGCTACCTCAATCTACAGTTAAATGATAAAGCACAATCACAACAGAATTTAATGTTGATATTGAATCTGGGATTTGCTGTACTCTTTTATTTTACTGGCATAAAGTCAGTAGAAAGAAGAGTGGTTAGACACCAAAATTCCAGAGTTACTGGCAGGTAGCAGGATGGTATGTATACTCATCGAAATAACTTTACAAATGGAAAATCTTGTATGTCGCCATTGTAGTTAACCAATTCTAGGTCACTTTAAAAACACCTTAACACATTTTAACATTTCTGAAATGGAAATGTATCTCACAGTCAATGGCATCTTACAATGAACAGGTAGGTGTTTTTTTCTTAATCGTAGAGAAAATAACAGTGCATCTTACAATCAGCATCCTCTTAGATTTGATGAGCTACAGCAATTGGTCAATCTAAGCATTTTGTTATATTCTCTATTTCTCAAAAATGTACTTCAGAACCTTGTAACAAAGGATTTTATACCATATGATCAATAATGGAAAATAAGACCAAAGAAAGGTGAAAGAAGCACATACTCTTAAGACTTAACACTACAGTTGAGTAGAATTGGTAAATTAAAGATCAGCTATGTTGTACATAAATTACTTTCATGTAGCACAACAGCATAGGAGTCTAGCAAAGATCTTAACTGCTGATCTCACTTTTGGTAGTTAACATTTGTTTGGTTGTCTAAAGGGCCCTCATCTCTTTTTGAAAACCAATTTCACTAAGTTCAGTGCTTCTGACTTTTTTGAGTAGCAATCCAGTATCAGAATTCATATATATCAAGGAGCAATGTTTTTAGAGGAAAACAAAATCCAAATTTGATTTTTAATAGCCCTAGAGAGTTTAGCTTATTAAAACCCTAACAAGAAAAGAATTAAAATGTCTGGTTTAAACCAAGTAGTTGGAACACGTTTTTGGCTTGAACCAAATCCAAAACAAAGTATTTCACTTACAGTTGATTCCAAACTAAACTAACATGAAGTTGTATTGGTTCTAGCCCTGTGTCCCAAAAAGACAAGGGCAGAAGGCTGGGAGAAAACAGGTATGTAAGTTACTTCAGAGAAACAAAACAACTGAACTTGGGCAAGTCTGTACTTTTAGTTACATTGTGCTCAAAATGCCTATATTTAAAAGTCTGTGTTACACTTTTTAAAGTTTTCACATTTTCAAGAATCAGGATTCCTGATTTGGGATGTGTCTAAGAAAAACATCTTTGGTGAGATTTCTAGGTCAATCAAGTTTAAGATGTGACACTGAAAAGCTATGCACAGGAAAAAGACTGAAAGAAATTACACCAGATGGTTATGAGCATTTGTCTTTGAGGAATGAAATGTGTTGATTTTTACAAATCTGCTTGTTATGTTGTTTATTTTCTATAACGAGCATTATTGCTTTTATGATGAAATAGGACCATTGTTCTATTTTACAAAGGAGTTAATCAGTGATGAAAGAAATGTAGAAATTTTTCATAATTTAATTTTTAAAATTATGGGTGATACAGTCACTTTGGAAGAAAGTTTGGCAGTTACTTACAAAACTAAACATATTCTTACCATACAATCCAGCAGTCGCATCCGTGCTCTTCACCCAAATGAGTTGAAAACTAATGTCCACATAAGAACCTGTACACAGACAGCAGCTTTATTCATAATTGACAAAACTTGGAAACAACTAAGATGTCCTTCAGTAGATGAATGGATAAAATAAACTGGTACATCCAGACAATGGAATATTATTCAGTGCTACGAAGAAATGAGAGATTAAGCCATAAAAAGACATGGAGAAAGCATAAACAAATATTAGTTAAGTGAAAGAAGCCAATCTGAAAAGGCAGTATTTTGCATGATTCCACCTACATAGCATTCTGGAAAAGACAAAAACTTTCTTGCCAGGTATACTGTCAATTTTCAGTCCTGTAAGAAACTTTAAAAAAAAATAACGCTTAAAAGAAAAAAGTGATCCTCCAGAAACTGGGTAAATGTGAAGTTTCAAAAACAAAGTTAGAATCAATTGATCTGAAATTTGTGGTGCTAATGTCAAAAGAAGAACTTTGATTCTTGACCTTTCCCCTTTGGCATGTTTGAAATTAGTAGAAAAATGCTTTATTTATTTATCAGCTCAGGTGTTTAACCTACATTGGTTTTGTACCCATGTAACTTTGTAAAAGGTTTCAGATCCTAAGATACTATATTACTGTGAATAGTTTTCAAATGCACAAAGGTTCTGGGCAAGTTGTCAGGTCAGGGCCTGATCATGATAAACCACAGGTAGAATGTGTTTCTGTGTGTGGGTGTGGTCGAGGGGAGTGCCTGAAGTTCACTAGAGTTCATTTCGTGCTCAGCTGTTTTGCTAGCTCATATACAAATGACTAATTGAAATGTTTTACCTCATACTCATTTTGATTTCCAAATTTCATATTTGATTTTGTTTTAATCCGTAGTATGCTAGGTTGAAGCTCTAGGGTTCATTCTTAAAGGAAGCTAAATTGAAAAGATTTCCAAATATATCCCACGTAAATAACTACTTTCTTTTCCAAATGTTTTTGAAATTGCCTTTTTTTTAAGATAGTTGTGACTCACTTCAATTTGTTGATTAAAGTTTATAATGTTAAAACCTTCACTGAGGCTGTTACGTGTGTGCATGTGTGCATGCGTGTGGGTGTGCATGTGTATCTGTGTGTAAAGAAACTTGGTAAGTTTATTGGAGAATAAGAGAAACAGAGACTGGGACTCTAATTAATTTATTGAACACAGACGTAAATTATGTACCAGGAACGTTTTTAGAATATTAACTTGATTTTCACAAAAGTTATAAAATGTATAATTTGAAGCCAAAAATATTAAGTTAATTACCCAGGTGACACATCTGATATGGAAGGGAACTGAAGTTTGGACCCAGGTCTGTCAGGCTCCAAGGCAAATGCTCTTCATGCAAGCAAGTACAATATTAAGTTAATTTAAATAATATGTAGCAGATTATCAATCCTCAAAGTTCAGATTGAAAAGGAGATATTGGTTTAGCATTATTTAGTTTGGTATAAATCAATGTTCTGTAGAAGTCAATTTCACCAACTGAGACATAGGAAACTACATTAAGAATGGGTCATGTTTTATAATAAGATGCACTGGAAATTTAAACATCTTGCTCTTTTACCGCATCTTTTGCTTTAGTGAATAGGAATTTCATGAAATATAGTGTCATTTCAAAATAATTCATTTAAGAGAGCAAACAGTAAGTAGAAGAATTAAAAAGACCAGTCTTTTTCATAAGTGCTTTCTTCTCATAAAATAATTCAGGAAAATATCAATAAAATAAGTTTCTTCTTACATTATTTCATTGTATTAACAATGTAATTAAAGTGTGAATTTAGCTTTTACTCAGGAACAAGGGCTGTTGAGATAACCTGGATCATCTGAGTTTAGGATCTCTGTCAAATACCTTCTATCTTAAGAATGCTTTGTTCCAGTATATAGTATAGACTGTTGTTTAAGCACGTACACTGTGAACATCAAACTGGCTAGGTTTGAATCCCAGTTCTACCATTTACTAGCTCTGCAACCTGTGTGTGAGGACTAAAGTTAACATATGTAAAATATTTAGAATGGTTCCAGGTGCATGTAAATCCTATGAAAGTTTTATTACTGTTCTTTGATAGAGATCATTCTAATTTCATCTAGATCACTGATTTTCGTTTTCCCTATTTCTCCCTTTGCCATTGTTTACTTATACAAAATAAAATTACCTATACTTATAAGAATTTTTAAAAAGCAAATCAATCTCTCTGTGACAAAGCATACAACATTCCTCAATTTTATTACACAAACCAGAACATCCTATAGATCTCATCTTCTTGCTAACATAACTGGTTCAGTCAATCAGAAATAATGTAATTAGATGACAATAGTATGGAATAAGGAAATATAATTAAATAGTAAAGAGCAAGCACAGATACTTTTATTCCATGAGAAAAATTAATTTCAGGCCTGGAAATAAAATATTCTATATAAGCAAAGAATAAAAAGTATTTAGCTACACATGGGGCCTTCTGATATGCAAGAAACAGTAATGTTTAATAAGTGTTAATATTATTTTTGGTAATAAGTATTTTTAAAAATACTCTGGATAAAATGCATCAGGATAACAGGAGTAAGACAAAGTTTTCTGAGTCCAGTTTACAAACAATATATTTTCTTTTGAGCTCAGAATCGGTTTAAAAACAGATTACAACATTTGCCTGAATAAGTACCAAACTGACATGAATTTGTGAAGATGAGCCCTACACCTGGTCTTGTAATTTTATGGTTCAAAAATCATAGATTATTTTTAAGCCTTTATTTCATTATGGGCATATATTGAAGTGTTACCTTAAATGTGATGATTCAAGGATATAGAAACAACTATTGGGGACATTATTATACTAAGCTCATCCTTAAATCCAATTGCTCATTTTAATTATTTTCAGATCACTTGGGGTTGGGAGACATTATTAAGGGGTTAGTCGCTATACAATGGGAAATGCTGAACAAAATTATTTGAACAGACTGTTAAAATGACAAGGTAAACAAATGAATGACTTTCCTATCAGTTATTTCTTTTCCTGTATTCCTCAGTACATATCAAAAGAAGCTATGTTCCAGGAGCACCTTGTTCTCATGTTTTGGATATAAAGTTCAAATTGATATAATCCTCTTTCAGAAGTTCATAGTTGGCTATGGAAGATAAACACAAAAACTACTCACTGCAATGCACTACTGTGAGTTATAAGAATTGTTTGGGAGCTGGGATGGTTACTTCTATTTAGGAAAATCTAGAAAAACTTCACGGAAAATCCCTGGGTCCTGAAGAAAGAAATTGAAGAGATCACCCAGTAATGAGTGAGAGGAAGGTGGATGTCTTCTGTGGTTACATTTTGAATCTAATTATTTTAAACAACTTAACAATCTGAGGGAGCTTGCTGGGAGTCAGCCAGAAAACAGTTTGAATGGACACAATCTGAGAAATAGCTGACCTTGGCTAACTGATAATTTAACTGGTATGAGATGGAAAACCTAATTACCAGGAGTGTGACCATACAAGTGATTGTCTAACCCAGGACACTTTTGAAAAAGAAAAGAGGGGACTATGAACAATCAGGCTAGGAGAGCTGATGTAAGCTGACACTGTCCTAGGCAAATCAGTCATATGGCCACACACTGTTGAAAAGAGACAGGAGTCAAGCAGGGCTCAGTCAGGGCTCTTGTTCATTGTTCTCTGATAGACTTCGCTCTCTCCTTCTCTGTATCAGTTTTGTCTTCAAGCACATGTCTCTCATTGTTGTAAGATGGCTGCTAACAGTTAGCTGGGCCTCTTGCTTTTCCCTTCATATGCAGGAAGAGAAAAAACACCAAACAAAAATCTTCAGCCTTTTTATTGTAATACTCTGATGCCATGTGCTAAGTGGCTCAGGCAATGGAAAGAAGACTAGACTGGTCAAATTAGGGCCCACTGAATGAAGCTGGCAGAAAGGATAATCACACCCAAACTGCAGGGCAGCTGTGTAATGGATGGGGAAAAACAGAATTAGAGAGCTAACCACTGTGCCAGGACAGAGGTTTTCAAAAACAGTGGAAAATTTCTAGGAAGTCTTAAATATGAAAGATTCCACCAGTTCATCTCTTTCAGCCTTTGTTATTTTTGTTTCTGTTTAAATATAGTTTTGTTGACATACAGCCACATACCATAAAATTCACTCTTTTAAAGCATACAGCATTATTCATGATAGCTAAAGAATGGAATCCACCCAAATCCAACTCTAGTGATGAATGGGTCAACAAAATATAGTATATCCATACAATGGAATTTTATTTGGCTATAAAAAGGAATGAAGTACTGATACATGCTACCATGTAGATAAACCTTGAAAACATTATGCTATGAAAAAGATTTTTGAACAGGTCACATACTGTATTAACTCTATTTTTATGAAATGACCAGGATAGGCAAATATAGAGACAGAAATTAAATTAGTAGTTGCTATGACTGGAGGGAGGAGGAAATGGCATGGAGGAATCTGGGCTGCCTTGCAGACTTGCTGGCCCCCTAAACAGTGGTCAAAGTGATATTTTGGAACTCCTTCGGTTGGGCCACGAGAAGCTCGGGCCTATTGGAAGACCTGTAGCGTGCCCTGAGTTTCCACGTAAGAAATCTTACCGCTCTCAGACCACAATGCTGGGGAGGCCACAGTGGGATTTCAGTCAATGATTCCAGGTGGGCTCAGCTTTCCAGCCATCACTACCAGGGTGAAGCTGTCTCAGACTCTCCAGTCTTGGCCATCTGCCCGTTGAATGCCAATATGTGATCTCTGTCAATGCCAAATTCTTCACCTATAAATTGGCAAGATATAATAGAACAGTTGTTTTTGTTTGATAAATAGTTGTATGTTTTTCAGCAATTAGTTACATAGCAGTAACTGGAATAAAATCCAAATGTTGAAAATATAAATCTGAGGATCATCTGCAGGTAAATAAATGAACCTTAAGGGCATGAATGAAATTACTATGTAGGTGTTCTTAACCTTTCATATGCCATAGAACTCTTTGGTAATCTAGAGATTTCCATGGATTCCTTCTTTAAAAAATGGTTTTAGATGAAAAAATGTAAATACAGAGGATTATAAAGGAAGTCAACTATCCTGAAATATCATTCTATCCATAGACCCAAAATATTAAAAAGCCATTATCATTGATAAAGTATTGATAAAGCAGATTGATAAACTCACCAGTACTGACAAAGAAGAAGCCTGAGACCTGAACTCTGACACAAATGTTAAGAAGTTGGCAAAATGAATGAATCCAATGTAGAAGGTTGAGACAGAGCAACCAGTGAGGCAGGAAGGAAATCAGAAGACTGCAGTGTCATAAAAGCCAAATAAAGGAAGAAATAAAAGGGTAGAACATAATTATATCAAATTTGTCCAATGAAATAAATTCTGAGAATTGACCATTAGATTTGACAACAAGAATCCATTAGTGACCTTGACAGAGTGGTTTCACCTTTTCTGGAGTAGGCATAGGTGATGGTATTTTGGGTGCTGTAAGAGGGAGCAGAGAAACAGGGAACTACATGAAAGGGATATGTAGTTGAGGACATTTTTATTTTCTCTTAAGAAATGAGATATTACGATAAGTTTTTAGATGAATGCAAATGATCCAGTAGAAAGTAATGGAGATACAGCAAAGTACTAAAGTAGAGGTGAGTGGATGGGATCAGTTGGCAGATGGCAGGACTGACCCTCATCAATGCTTAGGGCTCTATAAAACTGGGGCACCAAAAAATGAGAAACTCAATGTTGTCATCATGGGGAAAGTCTGAAATTTGTTGGACTTTCTTAAATATAATTCATGGTTTGGTATTGTTTTTATTATGAATTTCATTTGGCAAGGAGAGGGAAACCATCTTTCTCATGCTGTCTTAACAAAAGTCTTAATCGAATCCTGGTGTGCCTCATATCTGGGACCAGGTATATTGCCCACCAGGAAATCTTAGTATACCTGTGATATGGAAGACCCAGTTTGACCCAGTACACAGTGAGAATGATGAGATGTGGTGATTAGGAAGCTAAAGTAGAATAAGCATCTTTTAGTTTCACATCCATTTTTTGAAATTGGAAATATAATAAAACTTTATTTGTACTCCATTGGAAGAAGCTTCCTCTGGTTTAACTTTCTAGCTATACCTTTTCTGCCCCATATTTAAGAAACAACAAATAGAATGTCTGTTACCTTGTCTCTTACTTTGAAAAAGGCTTTTGGTAAATACTAATAAAAAGTTAAGCTTGTAGAGGCTTTATGAATTGAGTTAAAAAATGTAAAGTTTTAAAAATTTATCATAATTTTATGTTAGAATGTGGGCAGGTAAGGATGGCTCAAGATGTTTTTATTTTGAAATAATTGATTTTGATCTTTTTCCTTTTGTAGATGCATGTAAGAAATCACACTAGACAAATGCTATCTCAAAGATTAACAAATTTCAGTTCCTTGTAAGTAGAAGCTGAAAAGAAAATCATCTTGAATGTGTCTGAAGGTCATTCTATAGCATATAACCTTTTTAAAGGGTTACCACACATAGTTATGCTCGAGGTGGTCTAGTATTAATGTCATTGATAGTATTACTCAATGGACAGTGAAAACTAATAACGATTTTTTAAATGAGTTCCAACTCAATTGTATTAAAGAATCTCAGTGCTGGTCCAATTCAACTTTGTGATCACTTGTGAACCCTGAAGTGGAAAAGCCTAAAGAAACGAGCTGTTGGAAGTGTAGCTTACCAACTCCCTAGTGTGGCTGCTATTTTTATCATTTAAGCTGTGTTCAGGATCCACACTAAAAATAATAAGAATCTGCATAATAATTACTACCTTAGGGCCCCAAACAGGGTATTTCCAGGAAGTACAGTGGAGGGGAATTAGTATTCAACTCTAGGATATCACTGATTCTCTACCACATACCCCATTACAGTCACTGTCCATCAGCCTAGTAAGATGCTATAGAATCACTACTTGTCTTCTCTGTGCTATACTGCCTTCCCCATGCCCCCAACCGACGTTATGTGTGCTAATCATAATGCCCTCTATTCCCCTTCTCCCTCCCTTATAAATAAAACCTAACACAAACCTCAGAGAGAACTATCTCCTAACACAAAAATTATCTCCTTTTTTTTCAAAAGTCTCAGCAAACTTTCGCTTCTTTCTGACAGTATGTAAGTAACAAAGGATGTTTCAAAAGTGTAAGTGATGATTTGAAATTAAAGTGCTTCTCACTGGTGCAAATATATCTAGAATATTCCCAGTGGCAGGGTATGCTCTGGAGAGGAGAAATGAAAGAGGACATCCTGACAGTACGAGGATGTGCTCCTCTGAAAGGGGAACAGGGTGCACAGCGAGCACCCAGGTTACACATATTAAATCTGATTATATATATGCTGATGACACCTAGTTTTCAGTCACAATGAAAAATGAAAGACATATAGGGTACATTGCTTGCTTAGACACTAAGTTAACAAAAAGCACAACTTACCATTTCCCCCTCCTGAAGAAGGATCATTTGTGTACGTGTGAGGGGTTTACTTTCAATGTGAAGAAATAAGTACATCATATGACTACACACAGAATACATGATCATTAAGTCAGTGAAATTATTTTCTGATTATAGTAGCAGCCTGACTCATAGTTACGTGTCTTTGTTTTTTTTTACTGTGTAGGTCTCAGCTTAAATATCATCTCCTCAGAGAGGCCTGATGAGACTATCAAGCCTAAAGTCACTCAGCTTTCATTTTCTGCCAAGTACTTCTTATATCTGATTTTTAAAAACTTGTTATCTTTTTACTTTCTGTCCCCTTCCCCCTTCAGAATGAAAGCTTCATCCATAGATGTAGAGACTTTGCCTGTCTTGTTTTCAATAATAAACAAGCCCCCCAACTTAAAATTATGCCCAATATACATAAATCATTATTGATTAAATGAATGAATTAATGAATGAGCACTGAAAAAAACTGGTAAACTTCCCAGTTTATCATATAAACCTAACACAAACCTCAGACCAAAACCAGAGTTGGCACATGCAAAAAAGAATAGTAGGCCAGATCAAATTGATTAATGAAAATAGATGTGAAAATTCTAAATAAAACACTAAAATAACAAATACAACTATGAATTAACAGAATTACCCACCATGACCAAGAAGGGTTTCTCTAAGGGTTTTGATACTTTTTCTTTTTTAGCGTTTTATATATATATATATATATATATATATATATATAATG